GGAGTGCGAGTCCGTGGACAAGGCCATGCGCTTCCCCAAGGAGCTGCACCAGCCCGTGGGGCCCAGCTGGTTCTCGGAGCGCCAGGGCTTCCTGCGGCCATCCCACAGCCAGCCCATCCTGCACACCAACGACGGGCGCTGCTCTCTCACCTTCACCCTGAGCAAGGACATCAGCGTGCTGACCTCGCTGCACGCCGACGGCAGCAGCAGCCTCAGCGAGGACATGGGCAGGCGGCACGTGCTGCAGATCCACCGCAGGAACCAGATCGAGCTCAAGGTCCATCTCCCGCACGCAGGCAACTTCGTGCTCAAAATCTACTCCAAGAAGAAGTCGGACCCTGGTAATTATGATTACATCTTCAACTACCTCATCAGGTGCCTGAACACAGAGGTGAAGTGGCCAGCCTTCCCCCAGAGCTTCAGCAAGTGGCTGCAAGACTACGAGATCCTGGAGCCGCTCTCGGGGCTGCTGCCGGCCAACCGCAACGTGCAGTTCAAACTCAAAATGCACGGCATCGCCAAGGTGCTGGTCCAGGCTGAGAACATGTACCCCCTCACCCAGAACAAGGGCTGCTGGGAGGGAACCTGCAACACCTCAGGGTGCAAAGAGGTCTTTGTGATGGTGCACGAGAACGCCAACCACAACTACTACTCGCAAGTCCTCAAATATGAAGTTGAGACCCAGTAACACCCACTCCTTGTTCTTTCACTCACCTGCATGAACCGACCTCCCCAACATGCCCCAAACCAGCACAGCTTTAGGAGATTGCTCATTCTCTCAACTCAATCTGTTCTTTCAACAAATGCAGGACAACACTTGCAGGCTTTTGCCAGACTGCAGGCTCAAAGATGGTCAAGGAAGCAGAAAATCCTGTTAAAAAAAGGAGCAGCGGCGGAAGACATGAAATAAAACCATCACCTACATTTCAGTAACACTGTCCAGACAAATATTTAGAAGAAAACAACTGACTGTCTGCAGGGCATTCTGTGCCAGCAGGAATTGCTGGTTTCCAAGTTATGGACCATAAGAAAAGTCTTATGAGGGCTACTCCAAGAATTCACCTAGTTGTGGGGCAGGATGAAGAATGTGTACCCTGGTTTTGAGCAGCAACATTGGACATGAGGAACTTCAGGATATTTAAACCAACTTTCATTATAACTGTAGTCAAGTTGCAAAATACATCCAAGGAGAGAGAAGAGTTAGGAAGAAGATACAACATGAAGTTTCCTTGGGCACTTCACTGTCTTACAGATTTCAATAATACTGGAAAAATACTTTTTACACTGACTCTTAAGTACAATAAACAAAATCATTTTTACCTTTTTATATTAGAGTATTGTAGAGACTTTTTCTGCTGTAATTATATCCAAAGCATATAGGTGTTTCCATAAGGAAAATTACAGTAAAAATGAGAATAAAGTTCTCAGAAATCACTCCTTCCTCCAACCTGTCTATGCAATACTGGAGCTATAAACTGATGGGGTCACATGGGACAGCAGGCTGAGTGACATTATTATCATGTAACAAATCATTTGGTGCTGTACTCTTGGAAAACGCCTCCATGCACAAGGCAAAGAGGGGCTTCTACTGAACCCCACCACAGCTGCACATCCTGAGATGGAGCAACATTTTCATAACTGATTCAGATGCCTGTGAGCGTTAGCATGACCCAAGAGGTATTATGTTTGAGCTTGTATTGAAAATAAACCTGTTATGTTTTTGCACTCTGTTTCATTGACCAAACAATATGAATTCTCTTCCTAAAGCTGCTGTATTTTCCATGCAAAAGAGGTGGGTTATTCCTACATTCCCTCCTTAGTGACTGGGTGGCAGGAATTACTCACAGGGCTGCCCACCCTACATTACTCCTTTGACCCCAGCATCCAGGGTTGAGTTTCCATTTGAGCAGGTTAAGTACCTGCAGCCAGATTCCAGGATCAGCACTCTCTGTGAGGATGCAGGCTGCTGCAGACTGGAGCTGCAAGCATAAACACCACATGTAGGCTAACAGGGCTTACTCCAGGGTAAGCTGGGAGCACAGCAAAGCTTCAGAGTTTTTTTGTACTTGGTGACAAGAGGCTCCATATGCAACATAAAAGTAGATTTTTAAGTCCTCCCCTAAACAGCTCAGTGTCTTTGCCCTCAAAAACTGGTGGCAGCAGCTCCTCCCTGCAGGAACGCTCACAAGCCGTGGAGCCCAGCAGGCTCCCACTCCCTGGGCATCAGCACAGACTGAGCAGCACAGATGCAAGGCAGATCTTTTGTTTGCCTAAGGACCTTGAAGGCTAAAGCAAGTATTGTCTGTCAGCACAGACAGTCCTGGTTTATTTTGGTGCCTGGCAGAAGGGCTCTTTTTTCTCAGATCCCACTTTTCAGATCAAGGAGGATACACTGCAGTAGCTTTCATTTCACAGGTCAAGCTGATCCAGTAAAGTACGTCACTTCTTACAATGGCAGGATAAGGAAGCATCCCAGAGAGTTTAGTGACTAAAGAAAACAACTTCTTCCACCAAACAGGGTCAAGGATACCAAAGTACAGACACTGTTCATGGAACCACACATTTGATGTTCACAAACAGGCACAAGCACACAAACAGACACTTTGGTAAAGCCTCTCTGCAGATGACACCGCTATGAATGCGGTCCCTGCTCCTTGTCTCAAAGACTCATTCCACAAGCCTCTCTCTAAGCTTTATTGTGTCTCCAGATGGCAGGGGGAACAAAAACTGACTCCAAGAGAGCAGAGAGGACAGTTTATTGCCCCCTACTTAGCACAACCTCGGGGAGTATTCCCTGTTCCTGCAAAACCCAGGCACCTGCAATTCCACTCATCTACAGAGTCCCAGATTCCTTAACCCCTCAAAGTAAAGAGTGACCCCCAAGCACTGTCACACCCCCAGCAGAACATCTGTAACACTCTAAAGACAGATGAAGCCTGCACATCCCACTCTACAGATGTACAAAAGGAAGTGCTGCAAATACAGTTCCACACTTTTGTCTCAATCAGAAAACAAACATTGGCTCTGCCCTGCAAGTGTGCAAGAAATTCTTTAGTGCTATTGAAGGCCTAAGTTCAAAGACACAAACGCCCCCCTCTCCAGCTTCATGAATTATAAAGTTTCCAGGGTCAGGTGATTATTCCAAGGGAGATTTGACACTGCAAAGGCAGAGAATGCCTGAGAAACCCTGCAGCCCCAGATAAAAGCACCTCAGAAGTCTGCACTTGCTGTGACATCTCCCTCCAGGATAAACACACAGCTCCTTCTCCTCCTCATAAAAAATGCACATTCTTCAGTGCAGCCAAGGTTCCAACACCAGGAGAACAGTTCTGGAACAGACTTCTCAGTTCTCTCAGGGCATCTGCAATGAGAGAAAGGGGGAAAGACAAAGCACACACACACCAACACAGGGAAGTAACTCAGCAGTTCCCCTGCTGCAGATGCTACTTTAGATTACATTAGTTCAAATTTTTAGATGAATGAAGCTGACGAATGAATTCTCCCTGAATGAAGCTGCTTATTACAGGTATTAGAAATTGATAAAACTGTAGGAGTATAGCCACTAATTAAGCAAATGGATCATCTTCAGTCTTGCTCTTCCCTTCTGCCAACATGAACTGCCAAATATCTCTGAAGGGATATGGAAGAGCACATCAGAAACAAGGCAAAATGTCTCCCTAACTGCTGAAAACACCCACAGCATGATGCAACACTCAGTAACTAATTTGACAAATCATCAGGGAATACAATACTACTTGCAAGGTATAATTTAAAAATTAAAGTAGTGGCCTCACTGAAGGCTGTGAGAGATCCCTAAGGGTTCTGGCATATCTTACACTCAGTGCATCTATAGGTTCATCTACAAAGAGAAAACAGTTTGGTGCATTCTGCTGTTCAGATTTTATCAAAATGCCCCACACCCAACAAGTCCTTACTTGAGACCTGGACAGACAGGGAGGATGTTCCAAAAACACCCATGGACAGCTCTGCAGAGGATCCAAGGCCAGTGCAGGATGAGCACAGTCCTGCTCCAGCTGGGAGCAGTTCAGCACCTCATTACCAAGGCTGCGCAACGAGAATCCAGAATGCATTTGAAGATTTTATCCTCATGCAAGGAGCTCCACAAGAAAGCCAAAACACAAGGACTTTTGGATTGGAACATTTGTAAACTCTGGGATGCAGAGGTGCATGCCCAAGTGCAGCCCCAGTCTGCAGCCAAGCACCCCCTGGCTGAACTCACCTGTCTGACACAATTGCTGGGCTCTGGGTACATGCGGTGCTTTTGAATTCCTGTTCCTTGACAGTGTTAAGCTGCTCTAAGACAAGGTGAAGCTGATGGAAAGGAACAGGAAACTTATGGACATGGAATGTCCTCATCCCGAGGTTTGCCTGCACAAAGACCATAAAGACCCCAGGAGAACTAGAGAGACCCCAACAGAAAACAAGTTCATAGGAAAGAAGTCCTGTTCACTCACTGACAACTTACTTCCCTTGAGGAAAGACTGAATATTTTCCCCAAAGGAGGTCACAGATGTATTTTGATGCAGATTCCACTGGACTGTCCAGATTCAACCCAGGCTGGCACCAGCTCACATGGCAGCTGCAATGACATGTGGATGAACCTCACCAGCTTGTGGGTTCTCCTCCTATCCAGTGTCATTTCTCATTCCTATCTCTCTTTTCCAAGAGCCACATCCAGAATTCAGCCACTCATTCCTCAGCTATTCTGCAGTACTTGTACAGCAGAATAAAGACCCCAGATGCTACACAAATTGGAAAGGGCAGAAGCTACAAGAACCAGGAAATATTAAGAAATTCCATTAAGGGCAAATTAACTGGAAAAAATGCAGATAGCTTAAAGGAAAGAGGAATTTTATTCCCTGTTCTTTGAAGAACATAGCTATGCTGTGATGGAAAAGGTGTTGATCCAAGTTCCTGATGAGAAGGGAATATAAAGCACAAGAATCACTTTGTGTATTTGTATAAACAGGAAAAGAGGCGTTTGCCATTCTGATTTATTTCAATGCTTTTACGCGTAGAAAATATACTTAAAATACATAAAAACTAGGAAATGTTTTGCTTTTAAAAAATACTATCAACTTTGTAAGTGAGCACATAGCTGTGATGCAGGTCTCTGACCTATGGCAAGCTGACTCAAATGTTTGTGGTGTAACACCCCTCATCAGAGCAAGCATGGACACACGAGTTCCTTTTCCTCAAATCCCATCCTGCTGACTCAGCTCCAAGTGGGACACACGGCCTCTCACTCAAGCTCCAATCCCAGCTGGATACAGGCACCTTCCCAGTCACAGTTTGGAAGCACATAAGGAAACCAGCATTCCAACTCCACAAGGAACATTATTCATGGTGTTCAAATCGTCTCACTATCTTTGCACTCTCTTTTTTCAGTTCCTCAATGTGAGCATTTAGGCACTCCAGGATGTGCTGGGATCTCACTTCTTCATCTTCCAGGTATCGTGCAGCAATGGATCCCACAGAAGCTGTAGGCAAGGGGCACTAAAGGGAAACAAAGGGATTATCAGGCATTCCTTCATTCCAAGTTTTGGCCAGAAACACCACTGATCTGCAAAGCACACCACTGAACATGCTCCTAGAGGCTCATTTCCATCTTAGTGGACAGACTAAGCACTCAGATCTCCCATTTGTATCACAGGACACGTCCCTCCCAACAGCCAGCAATGATTGCAGCACGAGGCCAACACTGCCAAAAAATCACTACTAAAAAATCAGAGCTAGAGAAGATCACTACAGAATATCAAGGAGTTTGCCCTGGGTGCTGCTGCAATATCATTCTGCTCCTTGTCTCCATAAAAATCCCAATGGGAGCACCTCAGAGTTTGGGTCCAGGGAAGGAAAAGCACTGCCAGACTGGGTTTTTTTACCACATATTCCCCACTGGGAAAATCTCTGCTTTCTTTCATAGACCTCCTCTTCTGCCCCAAAGTAACAGGCTCCTGGTACAATCCCACAGGCAATCCCACAGGCCAAACTCCCATTGCAGCTCACAGAACAGCACTTCAGTCCAGCCAGCAATGGTCAACAAACTACTCCAGATTCTTTCCTTTACAGTCAACAACTATTCCTGCTCCTCACATCACTTACCCACAAGTTATTAACTTACAAAAACAACACTGTAAACCAGGCTTAATGTACAAGTTGATGAAGAGAAGCCTCGTGCACAGGGGCTGGCACGTGAACTATTTAAGGTTACTAAGGGGCTGCTTTCCATTACAGACAAGTTGTCTCTGTCTTGGCAAGAGAAAAGAACTGGTTATTTCCAAATCCTGGAGTCTCGTGGTTTTCAGGTCTTGTCAACAGCCAGGAACAAAGGGAAACAGAAAAGGCTACAGACAACAAGCAAATCTCTCCCACCCCACTACTGCCTACTGATAAGGGTTCTGCTCTCTCAGTGCTGAAGGAATTGATTTAAAGACACTGGAGCCTGACCCAGTCAATACCAGGAGAAATATCTGCATTTCCTTAGAAATCTTATTTCTACCTCTCAGAATAAAAAGCAGCCCATTCTCTTCTATTAAACATCAAGCCCTAGAGCTTCTCAAACCCTGAAGTGGAACTGTTCACACTTTGGGTCCAGTCTTGCAACGTGAAGAGTTTCCATTTACAATACTGCAGTTCCCTAAGCTCCCAACCCTGTTTTCTGGGTATGTGCACAAGCTATTTTAGTCTTGAAAAATCAAGACCTGTTCTTGGTCATAAACTTCATCAAAGACCTGAAAAGCCTCCACTTATCTGTGCATTAGCCTTTGAGCCTCTTCTCTGGACTACAAAAAGATAGCCAATAGTTTAATAGTTGTCACTGCTACCAAAGCAAAAACAGAGGAGAAACTGCTCTGAGCACTGCTAGGGCAACACATCTGGAGCAAGGACCAGTGCTCAGCATTCTCCCCTCCCTAAACATGACAGGAAGAAGTGATTCAGTGCAAATTTTCTATATCTTGGTCAAGTGCTTCAGCAAGTGAGCTGAGGTAGGACAGAGAAAGTGCTAACACTGCTCCTGATGAAAAAAGTACCATCAGCAAGTGGGAGAAAGAGCAGGTTCCCCTTGTGCAGTGAAGCAGGGATTTCAGGCTTTGTCATCTGCAAGCATAAGCAGCTTTAAGTTCAGTGTGCTGACTGCTGCAGCCTGTTTGAAAAGGGGTAAAACTCACCCTGTGCTTTACAGATGTGCAGCAACCAGCCACCCAGAGCCTGTGAAATGCTGACATACTCAGCACTCCACTTCCACTCTGAGCCTCTACTACAGGCCCAAGCCAAAAGCTGAAGCAGAGTTCTGAGAGGACAGGAGCAGATCCTGCTACACACTGAGGTACAGCACCATGAGCTGCTGGAATTAACTTAGCAAGCACACAAACACAAAGCTGTTCTCCAAGGGGTTCTGAAGAGCCTCTATATGGATGCTCCTGGCCAAGTCTTACCCATCCAGCAGTGGCTTTCCTTCCCTGTTTAACATTTGATTTACTTAGAGGATCACACACAATATGCAGTTAGGTCATGCATTCAAATGCCCATCCCCTTTTGCCAGATAAGAACCCAGCTCTATTTTCAGCTGTTGAGCAGCAAGTAGCTCCTGTACACTGCTTACCAAAAACAGAGATTCTCTGTGATGATTTAAGGCAGGCTGCTTAGATGCTTCATCTGCAAGATCTTTGTTTTCATGCACCTCATGAAGCACAGACTCCATTCCCAGCCAGGCACGTGGCTCCCTGCAGTTCTTGCTGCTGCTCTGGGAGGGTGGCTCACCCATCTCAGGGGTCACAGTTCCTGTTTCAGCAGCCCCAAACCTTTGGGAGTCCCTGTGATGATGCTGAGCAGTCCTGTCAGGCTGGAGATGTGTCCTCCCTGTGTGCTCATCCTGCTTGTGCTGTGCTTCCCTGGAAGGCAGGTTTGAGCACAGAACTGAGTTTGTCTCTTAGCAGCTGAACTCCAGCAAAAACTCACACAGAGGCAACAATTAACATAGATGTTACTAACAGCCCTGGCAATCCAGACTTGTTTCCATAGCACTTCCAGACACACATTCAGTCAGTCCCTGTGGAATTCTCTCTCTCTCTTCTGCTACTGTAGATACCAAAACCCACAGCCTGCACATCCTAGCACAGCAACAGAAAGGAACACAGCTGCCTGGGCCACATCTAATCCTGTCACCAAAAACAGCACAGACTGCTGCTCCAGAGAGAGGCAAAGGCAGACAAAAGACAAACACTGCTGGCTTTGCAGAACACAAACCAGCTGGGACTCAGAGCTCCTGCACTACTTAAGGCATAAAGGCAGATTCCCAACCAGTCCTTGTGTTCTCCCAGACACATGATGCACTGGAGAGACACCCAGCATGCCACTAAAACCCACACACCCCCTGCTCCCCCTCATCCTGAGGAAGCAGCATCCCTGGGGTCACTCACCTGTGCTGTACATCCCTGGGCTCTCTGCCTTGCCCCTGCTGAGCCCTGCCCTCAGGTTCACCTGGGCACACATGTGCAGTGACCACCAGTTTCGCCCTGGTCTCTGCCAGGTCCTTCCGCAGCTGCTGGTTCTCAGCTATCAATTTCTGCAGCTCAGCAGTGTAGTCCTCCCTGAGTGCTCTCAGGCTGCCATCAGCCCCCTAACAGACAGAGAAGGGCAGAAGTCAGAAGTTCTGGTTTGCAAGACACCACAGTCACATCCAGAGCAAAGGCCAGCAAGAGATTCCTTAAGGCATATCCCCTAACCTCATTTTGACTGGCAAAACCTTCAAGACTTTCCAAGGAGAAAATTAATTATAGATATGCCTTATTGGGCCTGCATCCAGACTCACTGTGCTGATCTGCCTGGGATGGTCAGTCTCTCCAACCACTGGATTCCTTTTAAAACAGGAAAACATGGACCTAGGATAGTTCAGATGGACCTGCCTCTGGCCTTTCTGAAACTCTGAACAACTTGCTTCTTCCTATCATCTTCTTTTTACTAGGCCAGGTGGGTATAATTTCCACTGCTTCTATCCCTGTGATATTCCCACTTGCTTTTTGCCAATTCTATTAAATTTAGATGCTTAATTAATTCTCATCAGCTCAGTATCTAAGGCCTTTCCAAGTGTGCATTAGGACTGCCAGGCCAAGATCCAGCTCCTGTGCCTTGGGGCTGTGGGGCTTTTTTTTAAGGAAGATTTCCTGCTTTTCACACTGCTGCCACATTTTTGGGAATTCACACAGGCAAAAGCCACCAGGCACTTTTCAAGCAGAAAGTAATGGGCCTTGGGTTATTTCAGTTTCAAACCAGCTCTCCAGAAAGCTGTGTTTTTAATCCATCTCACCAGCCACAAGCTTCTGTTCAGTACTTTCCCAGGAACTTGGCACATTTGATAATCATCCCAAACTAATATTAAGAGGTGAGTATTTTCTTCCCACAGATCTAATGGGATAAAACATACTCTCTGACATATTCTCATGAGGTTCTCAGCTGTGTGAATCCAGCCCTTTCTCCCTATAGGGAAGCAGCCATTCTGCTTAAGTTGAGACAGAACTTGCAAACCAGCCACTTCTTCCTTCACAAAATGAGTCAACTTGTTATTTCTGCCAAAGCTGCACCTCTGCCATGCAGGCTCCTCTTCTCCCCTCTGCCTCAGGAGTCTTGAAGGTTTTGTTCAGCTGCAGGAGCCCACCACAGGGCCCTTTCCAAGAACACTGCCCAACACATAGAGCCCATATTCCCAGTCTGCATCCTACTCATGGAAAGGAGCAGTGAAAGGCTCCTCCCTGCTGAAAGGCTCCTCACCAGGGGAGAACACCCTCTCACCCCAAGCATTTCAAGTGCCAGAGCAGTTACAGCTCTCAGACAGGTCAAAAGGACATCACAGGGTGAGAATTAAAAGTTTGAGGTAAGCTGGCTTAAAATGGAAGTGTAATGAAAGGTACTAAAAATGTGGGCCAAAGCCCGTGGAGAAGACATGGAAATTATGGCTGCTTCTGCAGTTCTCCTTACCACTCTCTGACTGAACAAATGCTTGATATTTCTGCACCTTATCTCCTCTCAAATTGCGTCTTTTGCTTGGGTTTAAAGTTTACTGAGCTCTGTCCCCCATTTGAGAGGCCAGGGCAAAGACTCTGACTATTCCCAGGCAGGTACACAAGGCTAGCCCCTTCCCAGCTCCTGGTCCTCAATACCTTCATACCTTCAGCTTACCACACTCTGTTTTTTCCAGAATCTCTGAGAGATGACGGTTTTCCAGCCTCAAGGTTTCCAGCTGGACCAGAAGTACCTGAGGAGACAAAGGCAAACAACAAGCTCAGAAAAAGAACACAATGCATGCCCACAACACCCTCAGCTTTTGTACAGAGGCTAAAGATAGAAAGAAACTACTAATGTAGCTAAAAACCAGGATGGTGTTTCAAGCCTTCAGATCCCTTAAACAGATAGCATAAGAGTCTTGTGCCTTTTTTACCCTGTGTTCCACTGCTTTCCTCTCTGCCCTTTCAATCTCTGCTCTGAGCTGTTGCTCCAGGTCCGAGGTGGAGCCGCTTGCTGATGCAATGGTGATGTCTCGCTGCTGCAGCTCCTGGGTCAGCCTGGAAATCTCCCTTTTCATCCTCTCCAGCTCACTGCTGTGCATTTGTTCAGCCTGTGAGAGCTGGTCTTTCAGCTGGAGGAAGAGATGCACACATCACCCATGAGCTTTTAAAACATGTTTCAGCTAAAAAAGCAAAAGTACTGCACATGGGAATATGAAATCCCAGTCCTGGAAAATAAAAAAGCTCCATGTAACAAACCCTCTGTGCTTGTCCTTCCTGATTGAAATCCACCTCATCCTAATCCCTTCCCACATCACACACTGCCAACTGGAAAGAAGTTTCATGCCATGAGGTACTTGAGAAAACCCACAATTTACCAAACCAACAGCCTCTTCAGCTCATCATTCAACTTCTGTAGCCAAAGCCAGAGAGCCAAAGGTTCACCATGACTGGGGAAGCACAGTAACTCTTGGATAATATAACCCTGCAATTTGCCACTCTGCCTTCCTGAGGTATTTGAAGATACAATTTAAAGATGGTAACTTTAAATAGCTCAAGCTGTCTTTTTCTTCCAGGAATTAATTTGCCCTAAGTCTTTTGAATCAATATTAGAGTTGAATCAATGTTAGCTCATAGCAACTAAAGCTTCCCATGGCAAGTTTCCACCAGCCAGCTATGCACAGGGTAAAAATACATGTCTTTGTTTTCATAACTCTATGTGATGACCACTAGGCCCTGCATGATGAAAGAATAATCATTCCCTATTTACTTTCCACATGACAGGCATGATTTTATTTTCAGTCCATTCAATCTCATTTATCTCTTTTCCAGTTTGCTAAGTCCTATTCCATTCAGCTGTTGCTTGTATAAAAACCACTCCATCCTTTATGGCCATCTTTTTCCATACCTTATCTTGGTTTATTCAATGCTTTTTGAGGTGGCAGACCTGCACCACATACAATATGCTGGTAGGCACACTTTATATTTATTCAGTGGCACGACAGACCAACAGCAGCATAATTCCTTCCCCAGGACTCCATTCCATTAGTCAGAAATATAAACCACCCAAACACACAGGATTTTTCTGAGAATTACAAGCATTTTAGAAAATTGAACCAGATGATCTCTGCCTACCCATGTAAATACTGTTCACATGGTGATTTATCTCTATGTCACCTCAATGCCTCCCAAGTATATAAAACAGAAACAGCCTTCATAAATCTCTCCCTCCTCCCCAGCAGCCTGTGGGAGATTCATTTACTGTGTGGCTGTTTAGATGTGTAACCAAGCACACATCTCTGGCAAGATCTGCACCTCTGTATGTTCAGAATAAAGGATGAAGGATTTCCACACAAGTGAGGTTTTTCACTCAGGTTCAATGAGGCTTCCACTCTACCAGGCTCCAGTGAAAGCTCTCACATGAGCTGATGCAGACCATTATGAAGAGCCAAGCTGGTGGAGGGCTTACCCCCCTTGGGTGCTCAGAGCTCTGGGGTGAGCCCCTCGTGGCAGGTGAGCTGCTCCATTCCTCCCAGCCCCTGCCCTCATGTCCAGCTATCCAGCCTGAAACACATAAAGGAACCAGGACACATTTGAAGTCCTGCCTCATTTGGGACAGGACATATTACAGCAAACTCACTCCTTCTCTGCTCTTCACCCTGTTGGGAGCCTGTATTAGGCTTAAACTCATGATTCCAGACCTTAATAATTTTGCATATTTTCCCCTCCAGCAGTAATTCAAGTATCTCCACAGTGTACAGGTGTACTGGGAGAGGCCCAGGAGATGCTCACAGAGCCAGCTTCAGACACCTGCAGACAGGAGTCCTCTCAACCCTTGCTCTGCCAGGTGTGCTCCTTACCTGCAGCAGGGCCCTGCCTGCCAGCAGCCCTGCCCTGCTGCCACTGCTGAGGCACTGGCACACAGGGATCAGCTCACCCCACCAGTGCCATCCCACTCCTCAGGAACAAAGCCAAGTCACCTTTTTAATCTCTGCCCTTGACTCAGTCTGGTCTTCTTCCAGGGACTGCAGCTCTTTGATATTCTCCCCCAGCTCCTCGCTCAGCTGCACACACCTGGCATTTGAAGACACCAGGCTGGGTGCCAAATGCAAAAGTATAGATTAGAATAACCCAAGGAGGAGGAAATGGTCAGAGAAACTTTGATCTTCCAGGCAGTCCTTTATGTCCATTACAACAAAAACTGAACTTAGCCTACAAGTTCCTTACCGATCCCCTGGGTTGGTTTTCCAAAATCATTTCACAAGAGATCAGGAAGCTCATCTAACAGATAACAGTTGTTTCTTACTTGTTTATTTACAAACTAAGATTACAAAATTTATATGTAAACACAAGTCTGAAAACCACAAACTTGGAGAGGAATCATAGAATCACAAAATGCTTTGGGTTAGGAGGGACCCTAAAGCTCCACCCCATACCATTTGTTCCACCCCCTACCATGGGCAGGGACACCTTCAACTGGACCAGGTTGTCTCACCCCCCCATCCAGCCTGATCTTGAACACCTTTAGAGACAGGGAGTCCCCAATCTCTTTGGACAGATTTGTTTACAATCCTCACTTCACAGGAAGCTCTGGATCTGGTTCCAACCAGCTGCCTAACAAAGACTCCTTAGCCTTATGTGAGTGAAGGTGCTCAGCCTAAGCAAGCTGGAGCCCTGAGAACACCCACCATGTGCAGAGAAAGGCAGCCAACCAATTAGCAAAGCAGTCACTGTTACCCTGCAAAATGAATAGCACTTGGTTTCTTTGGCCCTTTGATATTTAAAACAAGCCTATAAAAATCACTGGTTAACTTGATGAACACAATTAGGTGCTGTGTTATTATCCAGGACTACTTGCACTTGCAGAAGGAGCAAGCAGAGGGTTACCTGTTCTCAAGACGAGTCACCTCTGACTGCAAGTGCTGTTCCTTCTTCTGGGCAACATCCAGCTGCAGCAGCACCTGCTCCAGCTCCAGCCCTGCAGAGGACAATGGCTTCCCTTGCAAGCGCTCCTCCAAGGCCCTGCACAGAAACAGCAGCTTTAATCCAGCACAGAAACATGTCTGAGTTCATTGGCACAGGGAACATAACTGCTGTTTTCCTGGAGTTCTCTGAAAATCACACAGCACCTAAAAGCAGGTGACCACTGTGTGCAGTGTGAGTAAGCAAACACAGCGGCTGCATGACAGCCCCTGCTTGAGTTAAGGCTGACTGAAAAAGACTACATTTTATATTGATGTTGGCCTCCCTGGTAGGTGACCAACATCCAAACCTCCTGACACACCAGAACCCAACAACCTCTGCACATTGCCAGGGCAGAAGGCTAACATGATTTTGTCACAGATGTAGTTACCTCACCAAGCCCCAACCAGTGAGAACTTTCACCTAGGTTAATAAGCATGTTATCAAACCCTGAAAGGCCTCCAGCACTTGGCTGAAAATGCTTGGGAGAGACACCCTCAAAAACCCTGCACTGCCTCCAGAAACCCAGCTGGGGAAAGTGGATTCCCTCCATGCTCTTCACTGATTATCTGCTAATTCCAAAAGCAATGCAAATTGAAAAATGCTGCAAGGCAGCACAGTGCTTGTGATAAACTGCAGTGCACTATGGTAAATACAACCAATACAGATCCAGCTGCATGAAAATGCTGCTACTGTCCTCAGTGAGAGAACCTGGAACATGGATCTGGATTGAAGAGCCAAAGTACCAGCAAGGCACAGATGCTACCTGATGAGGAGTTCTTTTGTGTGAAGAGTTTCAGTCATCCTGTCCAGCTGTTTCTGTAACTGCTCCTGGTGCAGTTTCGAGCTGTTAATGAAATCTTCTTGAGACTGCAAGGTGGCTTTCAGTTCCATCTTCTCATCCTGCAGCACCTGCACAGGAGGCAGAAGGAATGACTGCAGCAAGATGGACCAAACCGGGTAGTTGCAATGTGACAAGAGGTTGATCAGATTTTTAGGACCCTTTGAAATACTGCAGAGCAGCACATGCCTACAAAGCCAATTTTAATGCCAATCAGGAACCCACCACTTCAGACCCCATTTCTCAAGAGCTCCTCCACTGACCTCTAACATTGTCTTGGACTCCCTTAATTCCTCTTCAACTCTGTGCTGATCTTCCAGAATGACGCGGTTGTCCTCACTGAGGCCATCCACCCTCATGCTGAGCCTCTCCACCTCGCGCTCGTTGGCACTGATGGTGTCCCTGGCCCTCTCCAGCCGGCTGCTCAAGTGCTGGATTTCCGAGCGGCTCGCCAGCTCCACCGAGTCCAGCATCTGCTTCCGACTGG